AGCCGGTGGTTCAAGCAGTGGAAGAAGTACGTGGGCTTCGACAACTGGGAGATGTTCGGCGCGGGCGATCCCAGCCTGTTCCCGGGGCCCGTGGACAACGCGGGCCTGTTCCCGGGGCCCATCGACAACTCGGGCCTGTTCGACGGTGAGTGCTGGGGCAGCGCGCCTCGGGCTCGCCCGGGGAACTTCCCTGCGCTGCTTTCGCTTTCGGAGCCGGCTGTTCGGAGGGGGCACACGGCCGCACCGCCCTGTGCGTGCGGGACCGGCGGGGCTCTGCCTGCCCTGGCAGCGCGTGTGTGGGTCTGGGGATGTAAAGGTGCTGTCTGATGCCGAACGCTCTGCCCTCTGTCTCCCTTTTAGATCCGGAAACTCAGAGTTTGAAAGAACACCTCATTGATGAGCTGGATTACGTGTTGGTGCCCACTGAAGCCTGGAACAAACTAGTATCGTGGTATGGCTGCATAGACGGGCAGCAGCCTATTGTGAGGAAAGTAAGTACGGGTGAATCGAGTTCTCCTCGTCCTGGTTTCATTTTCTGTTCTCCCTCAAACTTAGACGGTTTATTTTGTAGATATCAGCTAAGACAGGATCCTCAGCAGCTCTTTGGAGATAATAACAAGAGGTCTTTTTGCCTTGTTGTCTGAATGAATGACCTGCCTATATTGCAGTTAAATGCCTGAATATTCCGGGGTTCTCAGTTGATACATTATTCAGGGGTGAGAACCATGAACCTTGTCCTGGTTAACTTTTTACATAATGATTGTTTGGACTGGTGCAGTGCTTTTAAGTTGCATAGAATAGTTTGTGCTTTGTTGACAAATGCAGGTTGTTGGTCAAGCCCGTAGATCTTCCAGGACAGAATGAGGCATTTGAATAAATTGTCTTCTGGTACAGATGGCTTAGGAACTTCCTCTGGAGTTTAAGGTGATTCTTGTTTTCTCTTCCAAAATTCTGTGATTCAAAAATCTTGAGACATATTTGTGATTTTGTCCTGTAAGTCTCACTTTTGTCTGGCAAATGCAGTAATTTATGTGTTCCGAGTTCCAGAAGGTGGAATTTGTAAGTTGCTTTTTTGGAAATCTGTCAGACTCTTGTTTATGGGCAAAAGGGGTTGTTTGTTTTATTTTAGTCTTGTGTTTTTGCGGGGACTGAATTGAGCAGTGCCAGTCTGGGGGATTCATAAAGACTAATCTCTACACCAAGTGAAATAGCACTGGTACATGAACAGAATTAGTATCTCTTACATTTAAGTAGCACTGTGTTACAGTAAGGGTTGCTTCAAGGTGTGCAAGACCCAGGAAAGTGTGGCACTGGAAAGGAACTATGATCCCTTTCTTGCAGGCCTGCTTGTGCTGGTCAGTGGTAGTGGAATGTTGTCAATCAGTGTGGGCTAGAAATGGTGCGTAAGGAGAGAAAACCTGACATCTTCAGAAGCCCTGAATGAACTGGGATCACCAGGTGACCCTCGGTTCACTCAGCTGAGTAGACAGAACTCCCGTGTAAACAAGAAGCAGGGAAGTGGGAAAGAATTACAGCACATAAGGGAGATGTGGGTTTAGATAAACAGAGAACTTCTTGAGGAATAGCAAGTCTGCCCTGAGAGGGAGAATGGAACTGTTACTGATCAGTGCCTCTCTCAGTGGGGATGCTTTCCTTCCTAAACTGGCTAATTGATTTCACAAAGCCTGTCCTGTTATTGCACACTCCCTTTTCTGAATGATTTAGAAGTTGACAAGGGATTTGGGAGCTACTGGGGAAACACCTGTGTGACAGGCTTAACTGTATGAGCCTCCTTTTCTTGGGGTATCAGATGCCACTTTCAACACTGTAATTACCAAGGGGTAGAGTTCAGACAGAACATGCCATGTTATCCTGGTCCAGTTAAGAGTCAGTTTTTAAAGTTTTGCTATGAGACTGTCTCTATTAAATGTCAACCTGGTAACCAAAGTGGATTTTTATATCTAAAAAGATGCTGAAATGTAGCAGAACAGTGGGTTTGTGGGATGTAAGAGCCTCTTACCAAAATACAGAGTGGGTCAGTGGGACACAGGAGCTGCAGCGCTGCACCTGAGTAGAACATGGGAAGGATCTGGTTACAGTATTCTCCAGGTAGCACTGGAAGTAAAGCACTTAAACTTGTGGTCCTTGAATGCTTTAAGCCTTTTCCTAAAGCTGGATCAACTGTAATTCATACATTGAAATAACCATAAAAGTAGGATCTGGGAAGTAATTTTCAGGCATCTTCGATTTTACAAGGCGATATTTCTTCCATTTCTGTGTTTGATGATCAAAAACAAGTACAGGAGGCTTAGATTAGATTTATTTGTGATTCAGGTTTCTTTTGATAGTCTCAAACCATATTTTTGATCAGTCTTCTATAGAGTCCCACTAGAAAGTGTTTTAATGTGCTTCCTCAGCTGTTGAATTGTTGTGCTCAGAGAACAAACAGACTGCTCAGAGAGTGTTTAAAAAGCATCTGCAGGTGATTAGAGACTCTTCTTACCCTTCATTCATCCTAATGAACACAGGAACTTCTTGGAAAGCACTCTTCCATTTCTGAATATGGCTCTTTATTTGTTCCTAACTATGTAATACTGGAGAACAGGAAGTCATGTTTAGTGAAATTCCTTCTGAAAAAGAAATGGAGAACTTGTGATTTAGTTCCTTTGCTTTCTTAAAAAAAGTCTACTCTGCCTATCAAGAAGCTGTTGAACCAGGGAGCTTTAGTTTCTCTTTCTGTTGTAACAGCAAAATACTGAAGATCTTTCCAAATGTGTTTGTTAATTTAAAGCACCTTGCATATTTAACACAACCCTCTAAAAGCTCAGAAGAGGGAAGCACAATTTAGTGTAATTCTCACTTAATTGTTTGTTTCCTTTCAAAGCTGGGTGAAGTTTTTTTCTGTAAAATGTTGAAGATGGAGCTCATACCAAGTCTGGTGTCACATGAATAGAATGGAATATTTCTGTTGGAAGGGACTTAATCATCTAGTCCTGCTGCCTGACCAATTCAGGGCTGACTGAAACTTAATGCAAATTAAGGGCATTGTCCAAAGGCCTCTCAAACACTGTTACTCTTAAAAACTATACCAGCTTGTTCAATGAAATATGGTCTCAATTTCAGAGGCTTTATAGCTGCCAAGAACCCGGGAGATAATTGAGGTGTGGGGTTTTCTTTTTCTTTGTTATTGTTGGGTGAGATGTGGGGTTTTTTTCTTTCTTCTCCTGTTGTGTTGCAGTTGTCTCATAACTGGCCCTTGGAATGTGCTTTTCTTTCTGGCTCAGTGTGCCTTATGATGTGTAGGTAAAAAGTGGTTTCCAGTCTTAGAGAAAACGTTTCTAAAAATGTGCTGGAATATCCTGGGATGGGTAAATGCACCTACTGGAGTATTCTCTCCAATGCAAAATTGATTTGAAAACTACTCTGAAGTAAAGCAATGTCATCAAAACAACTTCAAAGGCTTTCTTCTGTTCTTGCAAGGAGAGAGTAATGAGGCAGATTCTGTGTACCATGCAGAAAAACAATTGATGCTTTGTCTTGCTCTCTTCTAATAGAAGAGATTTTGCCCAAGTGTTCCAGGCTTGTTTCCTTCTCTATGTAAACCTTAGCCAAAGGCAGGAGGCAAAAGATAATTTTTTTTCTAGAATTCTCTGTGTGATCAAATGTTTTTCAAGGATAATTAGCTGACACTATCAGTTCAGCTGCGATGGGGGACCTTGGGAACTTTGCACTGTGGAAGGAAAGCACTGGGATTTCCTGTGTTTTAAAAACAAAAGAAAAACCCCCCAAACAAGCTGATACAGGTGACTGAATCTGGACTGAGGACAGTGTTCAGTTCATGGCTTGACTCTCAAGACTCTTAGAAGCTTGCATTGTTTAGAGCAGTGTACCATAGAGGACTGCCCAGGATTTCAACTTCATGCTGCTCTGTTCTGTGTTGCAGGTGGTGGAGTATGGGCTGTTTGTGAAGCACTACAAGGTTGAAGTTTATCTCCTGGAGCTGAAGCTGTGCAAGAGCAGCGACCCCGACAATGTCGTCAGCTGCCACTTCAGCAAAGCAGATACTGTGGGTGAGTATTCTCTGGTAGATGAGGCAGCCTCAGAGCACAGCTTCAAGAGGTGATTTGTACCCCCAGAGCAAGAAGGATGCTGTTAAACTGGACAGGGTTGGAGCATGTGGTGTGTGAGAAGAGGCTGAGGGAGCTGCCTTTGGCCTGGAGAAGAGAAGGCTTTGGGGGAACCTCGTAGCACCTATGCAGAGGTTACTGAGAACTTGGAGTCAGGCTGTTTACTGAGTCACAACAGGCAATAGTTGTAAATTGAAACAGGACAGATTCCAACTGAAAATAATAAAAACGTTTTCTATATTAGGACAGCAAGGCATGTGAGCAGGGCCCAGAGGGGTGGGGATCTCCTTGTGAATGTTGAACACCTGATTGGATAAGCCCCAAGCAGCCTGGTCTGAATTCAGTGTTGATCTCTGACTTAGGGTGGTTGGACTAGGAACCTCCTTAGGTTCTTCCAGCCACAGTGATTCTGTGTGCAACACAGGGAGTTGTGGTTGAGAGCTTATGGAGCACATGGCTTAACATGTCCTTAAACATCCATGTCACTCATGTAAAGCAGTTGATTCTCTGATTCTTCTACAATTCCTTCTCCCTAGTGTGTGAGTATTTTAGACATCATCTTATTGGCTTTTTCTACACTTCTCTTGTCCTGAAATTTGGTTTCTCTCTCTCTCTCATTACTATATTTTTCACATGTGAAAATGCAGAATTGTCAGCTGTCCTCTATGTCCATAAAGATGCTTTTTTTCAGTTTGGCTTGACAGGAGTAACTGAAAACACTCCTGTCTTGAGCCTGTGTTGTCAAATATTGACTGTTTCATAGAAGTTGTCCTTGGGGCAGAAAGTTCTCAATGTGTTCTGCACTTTATTGATTTGAAGGCTTGACAGGCATATACATGATGTAAACCAGAAGTTTTTCATTCTTTCAGACCTAATATTAGACAGATTGTATGAGTAGTTATAACTTCCACGATACATTTTCTACTCAAACGAACTTGAAGGATCAATGATGTAAAATGTCTGGTTTGCCTTTGTTATTTTTCAAGAGCACTCATGTTTTAGGGATTTTGGTGTTGGTTTTTTTTTTTCCTCCTGAGCAGCTACCATCGAGAAAGAAATGAGAAAACTATTTAATATCCCAGCTGAGAAGGAAACCAGGTTATGGAACAGGTATATGAGTAACACCTATGAACAGCTCAGCAAGCTGGATAGCACAGTGCAAGATGCAGGGCTCTATCAGGGTCAGGTAAGGGGCATAACTTTTCTCTTTTTTATTTTTTTTTTCTTTTTTTTCTTTTCAGTCTCATGTACTTTTTTTTTAACTTGCTTTTGTGTGCTTTGAGCAAACATTGATAATGTGATTTGTTAATGCTTTTGCAAAATGTGTAACAGACTTGCAGTTACCTTTATTACCTGCACTCTCTTTCAGGTGGTTCTAATAGAAGTGAAAAATGAAGATGGCACGTGGCCTGGACAGCATTTCCTGGCAAAGTAAGCAAGCATGTTCTAAAGGCTTCTGTTATGTTGTCCAGCTTGTTTGCTAGGCTTTAGTGACCACGTGTTCTCTGTGGAAGCCTGGTTATCAATGGCTGTTGTGGCTTGCTTTGCTTTGGTTATTTTGAAGCAGAGAAAATCTCAAATATAAATATTCTTCAGTGGTTCCGTTGCTGGTCCCTTGTCTTAGCAAATGCCTCTGTTTGAAAGCCTGTTTCCAGTAGGTTGTGTGAGGATTAAATAGCTTAGGGTTTCTATAGTGCTTAGAAGACAAAAGTGCTATTTGCATTGAACTGGTCTACTTAAAAAGCTACCTCTGCAGACTGCATGGAGAAACAAATAATCTGTCTTTTACTGTTGTAGGACAGAAAGGATCTTTGAGTATATTTCCAAAGCTGCCAGTAGTGAATGCTCAGAGTTCTGGGAGTTCCCCCTTTAAAAGGGTAGATAAGTAGCTGACCAACCCCACTGCCCCCAGAGGCAATTGTAGAAGCCTGTAAATATGACACAGATCCTCTTGCTGCTGTCTGATTTAGAGAAGAGATGGGTAGGAGGGGGACTTGGTGAAATAATGTGTGTATAGAGTGAATGGTGTAGAATGGAAGTTGCTTGGAATGATAAGGAACTGCTCATATCAAGTCCTACTACAGAAAGCAGAATTTGAGTTTTTTTCCTGGTCTGATGGGCCTACTCAGTTCCCATCCTGGGAGCCATCAGTTTTGATATTGATGATGCTTTTCTGTACAATACAGTTAACTTACAGAACTTGCTGCCAAGTGATCTCATTTGAGGTCAAGATAACACTAGTGTTAAACTTGAAGAATGGATCAGGTAGGTCAGTGAAACCTATTTTGAAACAACACTTTTGAGAGATCATACTGGGTAAATGAATCACTAGAGTTCCAATGGGATTACAGTGAACTTTCTGTAGGAGTATCACGTGAAAAGCAACTAAACATTCATATCATGTACCTACTCAAGTACTGGTTGACAGCATTAGAGAGACAGCTGTGCAAGACCAGATCATAATGTTTTGTTTCCACATGAAGCAAAGCTAAAAAGAAGCCCTGTAGCATTCCCAGGCTTCAGAATTGTCCTTTTTCAACAGCAAGTCTGCTGTGTAAAGACTTTGATTTAATCTCCAGTGATAAGTAAATGAAAATTGTTACTGGTATGCAGATTATTTTTTCCAATGGCAAAAAAATGAATATTTGCTTATTATAACATGAAACCTGTGAAAGTGTTTGACTTGATGCTGATAATGGTGGCTGAAAGAATTGTTCTATGTCATATGTACAAGATTACCTGTTCTTTTGTACTTGTACTTAATCCTATCTCAGGCAAACATTGACACCTTCAATGTTCTGTTTCTCATCTGGAGAAAATACTGTTTAGTCAACACCATGGAGAACTTCAGTATTTGGTATTCTTCCTTTGAGCTGCATCACTTTAATGCTAGAAGCTTATGAGAGAGTTTGCCCCAAATTTAGAGTTTTGATGACATAAACCAAACAGAGTGTTGGTAGAGAAATGGTGAGCACCTGAATCATTACCTGTGTGCCTAAAGAAGGTCTGGAAAGCTGGGAATTCTTGTCAGTCACTGCTCACAGAACTTGTGTGCAAGGTGACTGTGGGGTGGGTGGGTTCTGTGTAGTGAGCATTTTTCAACACCATTTGCTGCTTGTCAGAGGCACTGGCCCCTGCCAGAGGAAGTAGCTTTTCCACATGTTTGGCAGCCTTCTGTGTGTTTCCCCAACCATCAACTGGCTGATATTTTACAGGAAAAATGCTCTTAAACTCCACAGCAGTCCTTGGGTGGCATATTCGGCCTATGCTTGGCCACTCCTGTTTGTTAGTTTGCTGCTCCCTAAAGAACAAAAATAATTTCTTCTTGTAGTTTGAAACCACTTTTACTACTAAAGTAGGTTTCAGAAGACAGAATTGATTATACTCATTGTAGGAATTTCAGAACTGGGGGCATACTTTGTTTCTGAAGGGAGACTCTATCAATGACTGTGGAACTTGGTACTCTTTGTTACTTACAAGACTCCAAAATAAAATCCTGAGCTAGCAGAGTTCCAGCTCAGCCTTAGCACACATTTTTTTATTCTGGGTATCATTTTCTTATCAAAAGCAAACAAGAAATTGTTAGATCTATAAAAATAGCATCTTTTCCATGAGGTGGTATATTTGAAAACAGGAGTGAAGTTGTATTTCGCATCTGCCTCGTTAACTGTCTGCCTCCCTTTGCAATATTCAGCAGTAAAATACAGTTTGGTTCTTTGGTTGGAGCTAGAATTTTCCTGCTGTTTCCTCTTCTGCTCTTCTGTTGACTGATGGCACTGTGTCCTGACACTGTGTGATTTTAAAGGACCCCTTCAGCCACTGGGCTAAATATTATGTGTGCAGATCCTTATTCCCTGACTTTGAAGTGCTTGAGTTTGTAGCAGATGCCGAGCTTGCAGAGGAGCATTAAGTGTGTAACATAAGCTAAGGAGGCATTTGCATGTAGGAACTTCCTAAATGAAAATCTCTTATTGTCAGTTAAATGGAAATCCTAGTTTTTCTCACTCTGACAAAAACCTTTTGTCACAGTATTAGTATTTAATTATTGGTAGTTTAAAGGAGGAGGACTAATTCTGTTGTAAGCTCTGAAGGAACCCTCAATTGAAACACTTTTTCTCTCCCTCTCTTTCCTTTTACAGTATTTTTTTCAAGCTGTTCAGCTTAGCAGTTTTTCTGCTTATCAACCATATGGCTTCAGTTTCTGTACTAGATTAATCTGACCTTGTCCTCTTTATGCTGCAACTGTCCAGATTTCTCCTCACTTGCCATTTATGTGGGGTTTTGACATGTTTTGCAGCGAGACATAAACCAACTGTCTTTACCTGCAGCCAGGGGCAATGTGCATCAGTATTGTGAGATGAAGTTGTGTACATGGGGTGAAGAACATGAGCCCCAAATACATGTTGGACTCTGTAGGAATGTGATTCCAGTCCTGGTTCAGTCTCCTGGGAGTGCCAATTCTCCTGAATTGGTGTGCCAGTTACCAAAAAAATCTTCTGATGCACGCTAATAAAACTGTGTGTGGAAATGATCATGTCCCATGAGGTTGTCAGGAAATTTGGAAAGTAGACTATGAGAGGTTTCAGAAGGAGCCAAGAGAATTGTTGAAGAATTAGCAAAGAGTTTTTGTGCTGGTAGTTAAAGTATTATACTGGTGAGAAATTTAAAAGGTGATTGTAGCACTTAAAGGCTTCTGTGGGATATGAGAAATGAAAATTGAAGAAGGAACTCTCCAGGCATCAGACAGAGATGAGCAAAAACCAATGTCCAGATGATGAAGCTGGAGGTTGTGCTGCACATGAAATGCACATTTCTTCTGACTGTAAGGGGTATTGATCCTTGGGAGAGTTTATCTGTGCTCTGCTGGATTGGCTGGTGCTGGCCACTGTGAAACTGTGGTGGGAGTTTTTTCTAGGAGGTGTATTTTAGCTCAGACAGGTTTTAATTTGAGAGACTTAAATTGTGCTTAAGCAGGAAGACTGACTGAGCAGTTGTACCTTGGAGTCTTGTCCTCAAAGCTGTGAAGTTACTTTCTCAAGCCCTGAACTGTTGCATGGTTATATGAAGTCTTTCTTTACTATAGTTTACTCTTGTATAGGTTTTGTTGATCAGATGTAAATGAATGTGTTTCTCCCTGTCAGAAACATTGTGGTGGTCAAAGGGAAGCTGCAGGAGCTTGGCACCTTCCAGTCCAGTCCAGTGGCTGTTGTGCATACAAAGAGCAAACTAAGCAAACTGAGGGTAGTTTCAGTGGTAACCCACTGAATAGCCCAGAATATTTGGGAAGGTTCTAAGTCACAAACTTCAAAGAAGAAATAACAGTTGTCTTTTCCTTCAGAGCAAGGTCTTGGGGCCTCCATTTCCAAGGGAGCAGAAGTCACATCCTGTGAGAGATGTCAGTGGAGAGGGCAGATGCCTTTGACCAGTCAAAGTCTTCATGTTTCTGTGAAACATGGGGCACTGGGGATAAATACTTGGCATCCAGGACTTCTGTTGTCTCCTCTATGTGAATGAGGCAGTCTTCTTGAGAGCCTGCAGTACTGTGGGGTCATTGACAGTAGCTTCCCAGGCTTAAAATGGGAAGCTTTCAGAGAAAAATGTTTTTCTCAGCTGCTTTCTATGCCCTTCACCTGGAATCATGACTCCCTTTGTGAACATCTTGTGAAATAAGGGGGAGCAGCTGTGCTTACTAGATCATTCAGATATTACAGATAGATAACCTGTAAAATGTAAGAGTACTTAGAATTTTTTTATCTTCCCAAGTGTATTTGATTTGGTTTTTTGTCTCCCTGCTTGAAGAGCTGTTTTGGGCTCTCTTCTATTTTTTTACTGCTTATATGAACCTTCGCAATTTTCTAACAGGAATTCGCTTGAGGCCCTTGATGTCTTTGTAGGTAGACCTTCTCCCACTCTGTGACTTGTCTCTTGTCTTTGCTTTCTGATCCCTTTTTTATCCTCCCCCATATTTCTTAGCTTTTTTGTGTGTGTGTGGGATACTGTTGAAGTGCTTGTGACTGTTCTGTTGCCATGTGACTCTTGATTATGCACTGTCTCTGTGCTTCTACTTGAAACGTTGAAATCCCTTAAGAGCTTACCCTCCTTTTCTTTTTTTCCCTAATAGATTTTCTTCATATTATTTTCTGAGCATCTTTTTCTGTTCTCTCACTGGGATCAAATATGTCAAGCGGAGATGCTGGGTTTTCAAGTTTAGCATTTTCTAGATTGCCCTTCTTTGCTTCTAGATAATTCACTCCTTCAAACTTTTAAAATGTGTTCTGAGCAGATTTACATGCTGTTGTTAGCTAAATTAGTTTATTCTTGACCCTCGAAACTCATCCAGCATGAGTGTGATAATTGTTGTTTAGTCCAGACCCCTTTGGTTCTCTCATTGAACTTATTTTTGTGTCCAGGTAATCTTGAGAAGTCCCACCTCCAACATGCAATGACAGAAAGGCATTTATTGTCCCAGAAATGGTTACCTTAGTTATTTTGGTAGATCTCATTCTTTCTAGGATACTTTCCAGTGTACTTTCTGGTTGTGCTGGCTGGTGTTTGTTTTTTTTTCCCCTAACATATTTCAGGTTTTGATGCTGTTTGAGTTTGGTGTTTTCATCTGCAAGATCCTGTTGTAACTTGCTTACTTCTGTGTTTATTTTGTTGGTATTTACTGCTGTTATATTTCCAAACTTTGAAGGCTGTCTAGCTGTTCTGCCTCGTCATGGCCATTATGGCTTGTTCATTGTCATAGTTTTTGCCCCACAGAGGTTTTCCAACATAGTTCTTTTAGCACCATCTGAGCCATGAATATGCATTTTCAGTTAGCATCATTTGAGAATGAGTGCCACATTAAAAAAGATAAGTGGACAAGCCAAAGCTTGAGGGCCCTGTCCTCTGCTGGCACTCTACTCTGCATTTGGGTAGTAGCCACTGTTGAGTGGCTGTTGGTGTCCTGCACTTTTTGCTTTTGGTTTTACATGTTTATTTGGGCAAAGATGGAGAGAATAGACCATTTCCCAGTCAGCTCTTGCTTTAGAGAAATTAATTAGTGTCCAAATAATTTATTTAAGCTTATTAGTGTATTACTGTCTTGTAGGTTTGCTTTTTTTATGGAGCTGTCTATGTCAGGACACTGTTGAACTTTAATGCCTTTTTGGTCTTGTGTTCTGTTCTGGGGGTGAGGACAGTAGTAGTGTGGGATTCACAACCAGATAAACTTGGGATATATGACCTTTTTTAATCTGTTTCAATATCTCCAGTCTCAAAATGCTGAGGGTTGCTGTGCATGCTGCATGTACATAATGGTGTGTCTTGTCTGCAATGTGTAGTTGTACCACAATGTAGTTGAATCAGCCAGGCTAAGGAAAAAACTGCTTTGTGCTCATCCTGGTTATCTTCTTTCTGTTTAATGTTCTGTTTGAATGGGTGGTCTGGGTGTCAGGTGGGGAAGGACTGACCTTGTCACTTTTTAATGCTGGTTGAGTGTGTTTTGGTGTTAAGATTTAGGGGGTTTTGCTTGCTTGTTTCAAGGTGATTTACTGATAAACTTAAAGCTTGCTTCCCTCTCACTCACACCATCTGAATTGCTACTTACTTCTGTCTAGGACCCAGATTTTGCTTTAAGCAAGAATTGTTGCTCCTGCTTCTGATACTTTTTTCCTGATGTTCTGTTCCAGACAAGTGTTTGGAAGTGTGGTTGCACAATCAAAGCAGTAAATTCTGCATGGGGTAACTAACTGTAGCGTGGCAAGTCCTTGGACTTTTGTGGGAGGTGGGGTTGGGGATGAAAAAAGTAGTAGCACTGTTTCTACTTCTTTTTCCTTTCTCCCAGATCAAGCACTGCAACTAGCAGAAACTTTACTACCTCTTCAAAATCATCATCAAGTTCTTATTCCTCAGTGTCTGCCACTTCTGTCATTACTAACGGTGATAGCAGTAACTCCTATGGACTGAACAGCTCCCACCTGGGCAGGGGGTAAGAGCAGGAATGTTCTTTTTGTTTCTCCATCCTTCGTGTGAATAATCCCTTGCATCCTTGCCAGCACAGGGAAGGAGTGTGATGGTGCCCTGTGAGGAGTTCTGCCTCTCTTGTGTACCTGTTTATCAGACTTTGCTCTTGGAAGCCACTGCCTTCTGCTCTTCCTTGCTCACTTGCAAAAGTTCCAGAGCTTACTAACTGCCAAAGCATTGCCTGATTTTGAGGGGATTGGGGGTATGAGGGAAGGGATTATATTCTTTTCTCCGTCTGCCATTATGGTAGAAGCCTTTCCAGGTACAGATGAGAATTTTCTTGTTCTTTCTGTACTACATAGACTCTTGCTGCATTAGGATAGTGTGCTGTGTACTTAGAGGAAATTTATGTGTTATGAGACATAAATTAATAATAGACTGTGTAAGGATTAATGTTTCCAATGTTAGCACATACACTTCATGTTCCTGGTATTCAGTATTAGCCACTATGAAGCAGCAGAAACACATAGTCTGGTTAAACAATTTCATTAAACAGTTTTTTGACTTGTGTTTGCTGTGACTTTTAAGTAGTACTGAGACTTGATAAACTCATTGTGGAGTTCACTGTGCTGTCTTCTTTTCCAGAGGTTCTGGATTTGTCTGTAACTCTTACAACTGCAGGGACAGTGCTTCCCTGTCACAGCCTGGACTTTGTGGACTCAGTAACCTTGGAAACACCTGCTTCATGAATTCTGCATTACAGGTGAGAATTAGAAAGAACCCTCTCTAAAATCAAATGAAAGATCATAGAGATTGTGGATTAAAATTGGTGAAAATAAAAGGATGTTTTAATGTGATTCAGTGAGGAGACTACACCTCCCAAAACTCATAAAATCCAAAAAACCCAGACAAAAAAAATCAATTCATATTGAGTTTGGCTTATGTGCAGAACACTAGTACTATGAAACATATTACAGTATTAGGGACTGGATCTGAAATATGTGGCTTCTGAACAGGCTGTGGGGGAAGCAGTGAAAGGTGCTCAGCTGTAACATAAGGTCCCAGTGCTGTGCTCTGCCAAAAATGGGCTGACATGGAGGATATTCTGACACGTGTGGGCTGCAAAAGCCACATGAGCAGGTCACTGCTTGCAGTTCTGGGTCCATGTTTGAAGATTCTTGAAAAATTAAGAGTATGTATGGCCACAGGAAAGGTTCAGGGTCATTGTGTGGGGTGTTGAGGTTGTAACAGTTATTTGATGTTGATATTATCATATTATATGTTATTAACATATAATTAATAATTAATTAACATATTAACAGTTATCATATTATATGATAATTGATTCTTTACTTTTAAACTTAATTGCTTGGGATTGTTTTCTTCATTTTAAACAATGCAGAAACTTGTTAGGGATAGTTTTTTCCTAAGAAGTCTAAACAAAATGTGAGCCAAATTGTATGAACTTTGATTTAAGCAATGGGCAAACTTCTAGTGTGGTACAAATACTGTGGAATGGCTTCAGTCACTCTGTGGTAGGTTTGAAAGATAGAACAGGCCCTAAAATAACTAATGCATTATGCATGTGGTATTCAGGGTACCACAATAAACTTGGACTACCCCTCTTTTTGTTCAACATGACTGTAACCTTAAATCAGTTTATGCTTTTTTGGACTTCATAGCTAGGACAGAGTTTCTAAAATTAATTTTCATTGTCAAAGTAACTTAATCTAAACGCACTTCAAACTTAATTTGTCATGCAAACTAATCATGTTAAGGACCAGTTACTTTCTTTCTTGTATTTACATTAGGCTTTAATTTTCTAGTTGTCAGTCCTTCAAATACAAATTTCTACCTTAATTTCTTTCTTTTTTTTTTTCTTTTCCTAAACATGTACTCAAATTAGGTCTCCCCAGTTTCGTTAACTTGGTACCCGTTCTGATGTGAAATTTGAATTTGTTTTTTCGTTGTCACACAGATTTATTGCCCTGTGCAGTAAGTTCATTTCCTTAATGCTTTTTCAGTGTCTGAGCAATACTCCTCCTCTGACTGATTATTTCCTGGAAGATAAATATGAAGCTGAAATAAATCAGAACAACCCACTGGGGATGAGGGGAGAGATTGCAGAAGCCTACGCGGAGCTCATTAAACAGATGTGGTCTGGGAGACAGTCCCACGTGGCCCCACGGATGTTTAAAGTAAGTGTGTCGTGTTCTTGGAGCACAGCTCTGAGACAGAAGGAGCAGTGAAAGCTGATGTGCCTGCCACACATTTTGTTGTTGTGAAAGCAGTAAGGACAGAATTGCTTCAGTGTTGTTTCATGTTCTGTATAAATGCTTTCCAGGGTACAGGCAGGAACTTGCCAACGAGTACTGTCATTCCTCAGAGTTGGTTACTGCTCTTGGTGTTACTTAGTAAATGACCTCCAAGCCTGAGAGCTGTTTACAGATGAATCAGAATGATCTTTGCAACAAAACTAGACCAGGTCATGTGAATTGCCAGCTCTGAGCTTTGATCAGTGAGAAAAGATGTGCAAGGTACAAATCTAAAAAGTGAAATTATAAAAGTGGAGAGCAAAATGCATCCCCAGAGTCTGTAACATTATTTCTCATTGCTTTAGTGTGAAGAGTTGCTTTCAGCTGAAATACTGAAAGTAGAAGGGAAAGTTGTTCTGGCACCCTTTAGTGTGTTAGCATCCAGTTCCCTGTGGCCTCCTGCCAACACAAGGTAGTGGGAGTTGATCTCTGCAAAAGCCAGGACCTGAGTGGTTTTATTTCTATCTTCTGCACACAGGTAATGCTCACCCCCCTCACTCTTGCCTTTGTGTTTCAGACACAGGTTGGCCGATTTGCTCCTCAGTTTTCAGGATACCAGCAGCAAGATTCCCAGGAACTCTTGGCTTTTCTTCTAGATGGCTTGCATGAGGATTTGAACAGAGTGAAGAAGAAGCCCTACTTGGAGCTGAAGGATGCCAATGGCAGACCTGATTCGGTATGGGTCCCTTTACTTGAGCACAGGGCAGGTGGTGCTTCCCAGGGTGTTTATTTGGATTCTGGGACACTTCCTGGCCTTCTGCTCACAGGCCACACGAACATCCTCCCTACAAAGTGGTGTACCTGGGATGAGAGAACCCTGTCATGCTTCGTGGCACTCTACCTAAATGGAGAAGAGTAATTCTCTTATGAGGTTTTCCTTATAGAGACCCAAAAAGTCTCTTCTGTTTGTTTTATTTTCCTGCCTTTTCCTATCCTGTTTCCCAGTCAGCACTGATATGTGAGCCCCTTGCAGTCACTTTGTTCCCCCGAAGCTGGCAAACACCCTGCTCTCATGCAATCAGACACATAGTGGTGAAATGTCTTTTCCTCAGTGAACTCATGCTCCCCTGATCAGGCTTTTGTGGCTTGTCACAGTCACACAGCTGCAACATACTGACAACTGCAGAGTCCAGAGTAAGTGGATTGGGTGAAAAAGTGCTTTAGGAACATTGAAAAGCCAGGTGCAAAAACTGTTTTTAGGAAGTGTATGTGACTGGTTTTTCCTCTCAACAGGCAGTGTGTCTTTTCTTGTACAATACAGTGCATGTGGCAACACCCCAAGAAGCAGTATATTTATTTAATCTTTTTTTTTCTCTCTGAGAAATCCCAGTGTGTTGTGCTGGACATACTGGTAGACCCCCTTTCCTGTGTAATTTACCCATCAGTATCAATTTCCTGAGTTTTCTTTGGTCCCAGTGCTCACCTTGCTATAGAAATCTTTGAAAGAAATAACTTCTAATAATTTTTTATTTATATTTTTATAGGAGGTGGCAAAAGAGGCCTGGGAGAATCATAGGCTGAGGAACGATTCTATCATTGTGGATATTTTTCATGGTCTTTTCAAGTCTACCCTTGTTTGTCCCAAATGCTCCAAAGTTTCTGTGACCTTTGATCCCTTCTGTTACTTAACCCTCCCACTGCCCTTGAGGAGAGATCGTCTCATGGAAGTTACCCTGGTATATGCAGACCCACAGCGTAGACCTGTCCAGGTGAGGCTTGTTGAAGACACAGATTTCTTTAAGTCATCCCAGCCCTTCTCTTAGGTTTCAAAGTTGACAGGGCCAACTTTGGACTCGATGATCCTGATGGATCCCTTCCAACTCAGCATATTCTATGATTCTAAATGGGTAAGGCTTCTGAATTTCAAACAGAAATGAAAAACCAATCCCTCTTGGTAAGAAAAAAAAAAATAAGAAAAATTGTCCTTTTGCTTTTAAAGCCTTTTCAATAGACTGATTTTAAAGATGTGGGGGGCCCATGCAGAGTGACTGGATGCCCTGATGCAGTTTTAGAAGAACTGATTGACAGTATTTCAATGTCTTTCAAGACTTTTGACTTGACCTCCAGCGGCAGTGGAGAGAATGGTTCTAAGATGTTTTTTACCACATAAAGAAAAAGCAATTTTGTGTTCTGAGCAGGCTGCTGTGTCTGGTGATTTTATTTTTTTTCTGGGTTTTACTACTGCTGAGCCTGATCACAGCAGAAGGCCAACTGTGCAAGGCTTTCATTCCCTCCAAATCCCTGCTTTATAAGGTAGACCTGAGATACAAAAGATCTTGAAGTGTGTGGCTGTGACCTTAACTTGAACTGAACTCCTATAAATGAAAGATTTAAGAGTTTTTAAGATTTCATTTCTGTTTTCTTGCTCCCTGCCTTGCCTGGTGTATTTTGCCTGTTGTAAAACATGATGTTCTCTTTGTTTCTAGTACCGGATTGTGGTGCCGATGATGGGGGCCATCTCAGATCTGTGTGAATCACTTTCCAAACTCTCTGGTGTTCCTGCAGAAAATGTAAGGATAACTGGAGACAGTAATTTTGATAAATGTTTGTTCTTCTTGAAGTGTTTTGGTGGCTTAGCTTTTAAAAATGGGTGATAAGCTGAACTTTATGGACTAGTGACAAAACCCTGACAAGTTGAAATGCTGTGCTTTGATTGTACAATGAAGAAGATTCATGAAACAATCTGTGTTTATCCTGATAGTTCCAGTGCAGTAGAGAGGTTTAAGAAAAGGAACAGAAAGGTAGCCCTCACCCCCAACACTTCTGATAGTGTAGTTTCTTAGTACTGAGAGGTGTTCAATGTCTGGTTTGGGTCCAACTCTTCTTGGATGTCCTTTTAATAATGAAGGATCAGGTGAACATTTCCTGAATTCCAGGGGGAATTCAATTGGTGGGGTATTTTTTAGGATGCCAGTGCAGCACTTCAGTTTATTTCAGTTAGTTACAGATGTGAGTGATCCATGCCTGAATTCCTAGCCTGGTGCCACTTTGATGCTGGGATCTGTGCTGCTGTTTCCACCAGGCTGACTTGGAGTTGATCAATCTTAACAGATACAACTGATGTTGGTGCACTGAAAATTCAAATAGAGAACTAGAATAAACTGTTGCTTGAATTTAAAGGTAGTTTACCTAAATTTACGTGAACTTTTACTATAATCTCTTTGCAAATGTCCCTTGCTGTTCTAGATGGTGGTGACAGACGTGTATAATCACCGGTTCCACAAAATCTTCCAAATGGATGAAGGGTTAAATCATATCATGCCAAAAGACGACATCTTTGTGTGAGTAAAGTGGAAAGATACCACATGTGAAGAATACTGCAAAACATTTGCTTTGGTTTCAGGTTATAAAACCCAACTCCTGTCCCCCCTCAAACCCTAAGCTTTCCTGTAGACCTTTTGCATGACTTAGAGTAATGCAGCACTGCTCGTACCAGCAGATCAGCACGTGGAATGTTTAGTAGATATTTTTCTAATGCAAAGGAGGTCATGGCCATTGGGTAATAATGAACTTCTAGTTTGGTGTGTGTTCTGTTGTTTAGAACGTCCTACAAGCCTCTTTCAGAGATGATAATCTATGTCTGGATTGCAGTTATGCTCCCACTGGCATTTTTCATCTAGCTCAGGCTTACTGTTATGTTCCAAATCAGCCAAAAGCCTTGGAGTGTGGAGTTTAAGATGTTGTACTCTGCCTTTCCAAAATCTATCATAGCTGTAACAACACCCAGCTAACTCTGACTGGGGGTTCTTTATAGACTCTTGACTGGTGCTAAACACTGTTTGTTTCTTAAATGTGTGGTTGTGAAGGACCTTAGGGAAGCTGAGGATTTGGTTCTGCTTGATGTTCTACTTGTGTGTGGTGGATGAGATATCTGCAGTCACCTCTGAAATCCAGTGAGGAGAGCAAAAGTTGTGTTCCTCTATTGCAGCTGGAAATTGAAAACTTTTTGCATGTTAAGTGCAAAGTGGACTTTGAAGCTCACAACTGAACCTGGGGCTGAAGGGTCAAATCCAGCCCTCCATCAAAGGTCCAGTCTTCCTCACATGAGAGCATTCCAGTGCAAGATTGTAGCTTCCATGAAACTGTTGGGTCACTGTGAAGACGTACCCTAACATCCTCTGGTGCACTGGGAGCCTTTCACTGGGTGGGATGCTGTGACATTCTGCTTGTTGCTCTGCTGTCATGCTCTCTGTGTGACCTCTTTGCTGAGACACAATGTAGGAGTTTGTTTTGAAAAGTTTTCTCATGTTGTTGTTGTCCTCAATTGCATCTAAAGGTGTGGCTGGTTAGGATGGCTGGGGAGGATGTTTGGCTTCTGTGAAATCTGTCTGGGAGGGTATTGGGAAGTGTTAGTTTTGTAAGTCTGTCTCCAAAGCCAATAAAACACTAAAAAAACAAGAAGCATGATATTACAATGGTAATTGCAAAAAAGCCCTGCTTTCTTACAGGCATAACATCATATCCCTGCACAGAAAACAAGTGTCTGAATCAGGTCTGCTCTGGGGTGTGGGGGAAGCATTGGCTGAACTGCAGCTCCAAGTGTATTTTCCTTTGCAATTGGCACTTCCTTTTATGTACAGGGCAACTGTAAATGAGGTGATGCTGTGAGTCATGGTGAATGAACTGACCTGAGTTAAAAATAACCCTCCAAGGAAGAGGAGAGGTAGCAGGAGGAAGTTTTGCGAATCCTGTTTTTCCGTGTACACCCTCCAAGATCTTTTCAGCACTAAGGGGCAAGAGAAAGCAGCCAGGCACCAGGGCAAGAATTAGGAAAAAGCCACTCATAGGAAGTCCCTTTAGTGGGTGTTTCTGCCAGGAAAAAGATCTATAAAGTAATATTCTAACTACAGCTAAAACCCAATGTTCTTTATTGAAAGGAAGTCTTGTCTCAAAAACACAACAGAGAAACACTTGTTCAATAAAGAGCAAAGCTTCTTTAAAGGCAGAGTTACATTCACTGTGGACAATCTACCTACCTTGTCTGGTTATAAAAAGTCTGCAATTAGGTGTTCTAAGATTTAATGAAATCATTCAAGAAATGGTAATAGCAGTGTGAAGGTTCTTGAATTCCCTTTGATTTCCATCTGTTCAGGTCATCTGCTGACGTGGGTGTGAAAGGAGGGACAGACAGTGTTTCGTCTTAAAATTGGATGAAGGTGGGATCGTTGGGGGTGGGTCTTCAATTTGGGATTTCTGAGCTGCAGTTTTGAGTGATACTTTAGGGATTTTTACCCTTTTACTTTAGGGATTTTTACCCTTTTACTTTAGGGATTTTTACCCTTTTACTTTAGGGATTTTTACCCTTTTGCTGTTGCTTGTAGAGCCTGATGTGAGCAGGCTGTGACAATGTGGTGGCACTGGGAGAAACTTTCAAAATTGTCCATGAAAGGACGTGGCTGTGTTAAGTTTTTAGTTCATCGTGCTCTTTCAAACTGACCACATGAAGGATATGCAGAAGGCTTTTTTTTGTTGTTGTTACAGCATATTTTATGTGCTTTCAGTATCTTTATGAGAAATTTTGATTTTTCTTTAGTTTCTCCTTTGAAGAAGTGCTTCTCATTTTTTCTTTTCATTTAGCCCAGGGTCTGAGGAATCCTATGAGATCTCTGTGAATTTAAACTTATCATTAAGTTGAAACTGACTTATATAAGTTTTTTCAGGCTTTCTAAATCTTAGTTTAAGATTTTTATGACTTAAAAACTAAAGTGAGAGCTTTGTCAGGGAAAAACAAACGGGAGAGGGGTTGTCTGGTAGTCATGGTACCTTTTGCAGGGTGTGTTCTTGGGCACTAAATGTTATCCTAGATGTGTGTTAAGTTGTCGTATAATATGCAACCTGGGATATTACTGAGGACCATTAGTTAATTGTATTTATGTGAGATGTTTACTAGAATCCAGATGTCTCTTGTATTTAAATTAGCATGGTATGCAGTGTCTCATGTACTTGAACTCTTTCTTAATTCATGTTTTATTGATCCTGTCCCTTTTATATACTCATCATATGCTCTTATTTTCCAGCGATGTCCAGTGGCAAGACTTCCCTGTTGGCAAACTGTAATGTGTACATCTCACTCCTTGTTTTAAGTAATTGAAGTTAGATGCTAAGTTTCTTCCACTGGTTAGAAAACAAAGTTTGGAGAAGGAAGTGATCCAAAATAGTTGATTCAGTACAACATATTCAGAAATAGATTTCTCATGTGTATTTTCCCACAACTTATGTGTGCGTTCCCCAAACTTGTACTTTTAAATTTTAGAGATGGCTCAGTGGGTCTTACCAGTTTTTGAGGTCTTTTCCTAAAGGGTTTTGCTGCCTGGTCTTTGAATTTGGATGTACTCTCAGGTTCTTTTCATTTGTTCCTTCCTGATGGCCACACTGAGTGAATTCTGAGAGAAGCTGTGATAAACTGAAGACTGCACCCTTCCATGCTGGTGTTTAATTGTCCTTTTAAAGGTGTAACAGTTTCCTCACTTGAAAAGCACTCCTCTTTTCCACTGGCATAAGCAAACCAAGGTTGTGTTTCTTATTGTCTGTGGTTATTTGCTGGACTCTGAGAATGCAAAGAATGTAGTGATGGGGGAGTACAAGGCCCTCAGGCTCTGATTTTATGAGCAACTGCCATCCAATTCTTCCTTTGTTCCTTGATTTCCTTGTCCCCCCTCCAAACAGAGACCAGCAGGTTGATCACCTGTGTGACTGTCTTCTGTAACAGAAATAAGTTGTTTCAATGGTTATGAAGCTTTTTAGGGTCTGATTGTAACTTAAACTGGCAGTTCTTGCCTTCTTTATGTTTCTTGCAATCACCTTAAGTTGTCTCAGGATTGAAAACTTTAAATATAAATGTCAGTCTCTTACAGTATTTCTGCAGGTTTGCTTTGCTGAAGGCAGTAGTCAGCCCTGGGTCTGCATGTGACAACAGTATTCCTGTGGTTTGACAGACTTCTGATTTTAGTGCTGTGCTCTGGCCAGCTGGCAGCACATCTCTCAATTCAAAATTTGAAGACTTAACACCACAGGAGATCTGTGCCCCAGCAGGGATGTGATTTAAAAAAAAAAATTAAAGTACTGTTGTCTTGCTTTTGACACCAGTGTCTGTTAAATCCCAACTTTCAGTTTAGGCCTCTGTTATGAGCAGAACATGGATTTCCATGAAGTGCTGTATTTGGAAATGTCACTGAGCAGGAACTCGCACAACACGTTGCAACAGGAGCAGAGCAACTGGAGTGGGCCTTGGCTCTCCTCAAGATTTGTCTCCTCAGGACAACACTATATATTTTCTTCCCCAAGTCACCTGAAAGGGGAGGAGAATGTGGGTCTGGAATTCTCCAAGCCTGTTCTTTCATGAGGCTTTACACTTGTCTCTTTCTCATCATGACAGGCTTGGAAATGTTGGGTAGTCCTGGTGCAAGATGTATTAATATTTAGCATCAGAGAAGAGGTGGGATGCAGAAATGTAAGGAGTTGGTAGAAGCCTTGAGGCAAAAATCAGTGACACTACAGCTTCTCATAGTGTTGGAAATGTCTCTCTCCAGGCATCTTGTTCTGTGGCAGGACAGGGAGGTCTGTGGCAAATGCTCAGAGCTCACTCACATAAAGGTGGCCTGCAAATCAATTTGGTGCCATGAGTTCAGTGTTTGTGCTGAATGCTCTCATTCCCCAGGCTAAGCAGAGAACAGCGTTCAGCACACAACCCAAACACTTGCTATTTCTTTTCCTTAGGTTCTGGGAAGTCCAGCCCCAGTAGGACCTCCGGCTCCCGCTCCAGTGTAACCCCCACACATGCACCATGCTGGTGATATCCCATCACCAGGGATCCTGCTGGAGCTTGGAGCCGGTACAAGGGGTCAGGTAAGTGCCACTTGAAAACAAACTCCACGGCCCATTTCAAGGGTATCCCTCATTGTAGTTCTTTTTAGTTCTCAGGAACTAAGAAGAAAACTGTTTTGATGGATAAACTAGATCCTGCTGTTCTCTTAGCCTGGCTAATGGGGCATTATTATATAACATGTTGTTTACACTGATGAAATTTTCACAAATTGATTTGCAGGTCACCTTTAACCTATCAAAGTGTGCATATTTGAGTAGGATATACTTTGCCATACATGCCATGCTTTCTGCCTTCTCCTACAACATACTGTGTGGTACATTTAAGTGAGTTCATGGTCTTGCAAAACCATGACTGGCTGCAGAAATGTAGGTTTGTTAATGTGACTGAGGCTACAGCAATTATTGAATGAGTTAATGAGGTCAGCAGACCAGCTAGTCTGGTAGTTTTATGTGAAACATGTGAAACATGTATGAGATCTTGTAGCAGACTGGTCTTGCTGAAATGGGGTTTTCGTGTTTGAAATGAGTTTGGGTCCTTTCTGCAATGAACTTGTATTTTTTTAAGCTTTGTAAAAATCTTCCTGGTTGAATTCCCTCATCACTTTTAATCTTATTCTGCTGCAAGACTAGAAAAATCCTGTGATCAGCTTCTACAGGGCAAGCTGCCCTGTAAAAAACATTTAAAAACTACATATGCAGTCTCTTATCTCCAGTTACTTGTCTGGTATTATGGTGGGTGTTCTGGTATTATGAAAGAAAGTAAAAAGATTTTAGGAGTATCTCCACTTCCTAGAAGAGATCAGAATATGTGCAGTAGTTTCACCCGGTTTTTTCCAGGTCTCTGTTTATTCTTACTGTCTACTTTTGATCCTGTAGTGATTTCACAACAGCATCTCTGGGTGGGTGTGCAGTAGTAACCCTGTTCAGAAAGATCTGTTTCTCAGCTTCTACAATGGCATTTTTTCCTGCCTTTCTCCATTCTCTTACAAAATACACTTCCTAGTTGTTGCTGGAGACTGACTTGGGGTCCACACAGTGTTTTTGCAGCTGGAGTTAATATCATAGACCCCAGCACTTGGGAGGGAATGTTTCAGTAACATACAACCTGGTATTTAGCTCAGAATATGTTTTGCTTTCAGTGCCCTTTCATGTAGCTCTGCCTGGTCTTCTGTAGCTTTCCATGCTCCTGTGCACTTGCTTAACTTAAGTGTGCAAGGGAACAAAAGTTCCCTCATTGCTCACTGCCTCCTTTCTGAATTGTAACCACAGACCTGAAGCCTTCATAAAGCTGATGAGGGCTGGTCAAGTCCTACCCTATTGCTTAGCAGTTTTCAGACACTTTTTAGAGTTGTTGGTAATTACAAAGGCAGCCAAGCCAGTATTTTGCGGTGTGGTAGCAGCTGAACTGATGTCCCTGACTTTTAAAACCATGTTGTGTAGTCTGGACTAGCATCATCTTTATGTTCTATTATTTCAGGGAAGTTGTAAGATACAGAATTATGGTGTATTGTTCAGTAATTCCCAGTATCAGCTCTATAACCTTCCTTAAACTGTACATAAAGTACTTATTCTTAGATTCTTTTTTTTTACAGGGAATGTTTGAGCTGTTGCTCAAGAGATCAGAAAAATGACAGATCCTGATTCTGCTTTGTCTGCTTCTAGTACTAGTATGTAAAAGCTGTTCTGAGGTGGAGTGGGTAGAGGGACACTTGGGTAACCAAATCTGTTCTGTTTTGGTGAGAAGTGTGCAAGATGCTCTCCTGCAGAGTGCTGTGGGGTGCAGTGTGCTGGCTGTTGGTGCTAGATGACTTCTGCCTGGTGTAGTAGCTTTTTCTCTCTGTCCCATCTGTTCCATTCCATGGGCAGGGCTTCATTCAGGTGCTTGAGGGTGGAGTGTAAGTGGGGGCTGCATTAATTGCTGCTTGCAGAGCACAGTGTAGGTGGTGTGAGAGGCAGTCATGTCCTGAGTGTGTCATGTTCTGAGCTGTGTTATGGGAGTCCAGCTTAAGGGTCTCGTAGGACCTGGAATTAATCACAGATGATATTCTGGGACTGAGTATGGCCTTTTGTTACTTAAACAGTACTAAGTAAAATAGTTCACCTCTTTGTGGTGCCATTTCTCAGGAAACTTTAGAAAATGTGAACTGTATGCAGTGCTGGTGTCCAGCTGATTAGCACTGACAGCCTAGAAAGCCTCCACAGAGCCATTGGTGTTGGACTGTCTTATGCTGACTCTGAGCTCTTGTGCTCTTGGTGGGCTGGGACTCTCTGGAAGGATGTTTTCCTTCATATGTTCTACTGACTCAGTGCAAACCCCAGACTGGGATCTTTTTTTGTTTTAATTAGGATGAACCAGAACTACAACTCTGAAATTTGTTCTTTTCCCTGCTCTGCAAGGCCATTCTGAACACAGGAATAAAAATGTTTCTCGGCTCTTGAGAGAAGGGAAGTGGCTTGTCTAATGTAAGAGGACTGTTAGGAGTTGAGTGCATTCAGATGTGTGATTGTGGTCTTGGTCATTATGTGTAGTGACATCTTTCATGAAATCTTTCTTTCTCTTTCAGTTTTAAGATAATTCTGAGACAGGTGACTCACCAAATTAAAGAGTAGTGTGACTTGGCATTCCTGAAAATGAACCTTATGTAATGAATAGCCCTGAAGCAAACAGTGCAATAATGTTGGACCACGTGGTTTCTTTCAATTCTGACCTCTGCAAATATCTCATTTGCTGTTTCACCCAGTTCATGAGCTGCATCTCAGTCTCCTTTCTGCTCTGCCTAGCTGTTTGTTGTCTTCTAGAATTTTTCTTGTTTGCTTCCTGTCCTTGGAGTTTTCTGTGAAGCAGATGTTTCCAGACTCTTGGTTTTGTGAAATGTTAGCTGCTAAGTGATGGGAGCTCAGGCCATTAAACTGTGTGAGAATGCAAGACCCAAAGGTGTCAAGTGGGTGTCTTTCTCCAGGGGACACAAACAGTCAGAGGAATTTCCAAGTAAATTTAGTATTTGTGTTGATGCTGTGATCTGGTTGAAGCACAGTGTAGTTGACAGGGTGTGTCTTGGGAGGTGAGTGGCAACAGAGATTTGAATTGGGAATACAGAGGGCAGGTGGCAGTCAAGTTGGTGGCAGGTCTGTATCCTGTGCCACTGTGAGCCATGGGGAGTGTTCAGGAAACTGCTCTGTAGCATGAGCACATAGTACAACCCTTTGTACCTGGTGCAGAGAGTTACTGGATTGAGTTCATATTGGTTCTATGTGCTGTGCTTCTTGGCAGTGGAAATAACCCGTGGAAATGCCTGTCTTTCAAACAGGTATGAAGTTTGCAAGCCAAGTGAGGACAGCTCAGAGTATGTTACTCTCTCTATTTACTTTCGGGAGAAGACGACAAGACAATCCAGCAACACTGCAGGGACTGTGCTCTTTGGGCAGCCTCTGCTCATATCTGTGCCCAAACACAAGCTCACTGTGGATCACCTGTACAGTGTGGTTTTGAAGCAGATCAGGTAAGTCATGTCTGTGCCTTTGAATCCTGTGCCAAGTTCTAGAGGTCACTTATTCAATTACATTGTAATAGGATTACTGCATCCTTGCTAACAGGAAGAATTTTTGTGTGGGATGTGTAAACCAGGATTTGTGTTGCATTGCTGTCTGGAGGCCCCAGGGACATTTCAAGGTCCTGGTTTTTTTGGCTCTCTAAAAGACACTTCTGGTGGTGGTCAGAAGGGGGGCTGTTTGCTCAGTGTTGCAAAACAGGTGAGGAGCAGAACTCAGGCCATGTTTTCAAGGCTGACAGATGGGGCCACCATAACTTCCTTTTGCCTTTCAGTCTACTGCCAGTAAAACTCAGAACAAGCAGCGAGAGCAGAGACTTACTGAATTGTTGTTTGACTCATTCTGAGGGCTCTTGGCCTCTAAATGCTGCTGTACAGGACAGGTTCTGCTTTGCTGAGGGGGACAGGGCAGCAAGAACTGATGACAGGGGGATGCTACTGTTCTGATGCTCAGCTTCAGTCTGGTTGTGTGACAAACATACCCCTCTTTTTAGCCGCTATGTGAAACTCCCTTTGGCAGAAGAATACTCTACACCCTGCCCAGACAGAGGGACCTGCAATGGCTCCAATGGGGTGGTTGAAGGTAAAGTTCTTTCAAAATTGGTTGGAAACTTTTCAGCACTTTTAAGTTTTTTATTGGCGTTTGGTTTGTGCTATGTGTATTCAGTTAAGCTTCAGCAGATTGTTTCTTCACCATGATTAAACCACACTATTGTGTAGGACTTCTGCATGGGATGGGGGGGAATTCTTGTAGAACATCTTCCTCTACAGGGAGATCAGATGTGTGTAAGAGGCATCTGGGGAACAAGGTGTGGTGTGCATTCATCCTCGATGTTAGGGAAGTCCTTGCTTACCTGTGAGGTGTTCAGGTGCCTCCCTCCAGAGGCAAATCCTTTCTTGATGTGTCCTTTGCTGATGAAAATTGGCCTGTTAGGTCACAAAAAATAAGTTGTGGAGAAATAAAGTGGAAATGGTATTTTCTGTTGGAGGACCTAGAATCATGAGGTCTCATCCCAAGGCTACATGCTTACTAAGACACTTTTAATGCTGATGGCAAATGCATGTTTCCCTTTCTTCTTTGAAATAATTCACTCCTGTAACCCTGAGGGTAACAACTAGAAGAAGTTAAATGGGGGAAAAAAATCTGGCCATTTTTTCCCTAAGAATGGAAGTAACGTTCTTGGAGACTTACATATTCCCTTCTGTAAAGACACTCAGCTGCAACCTTGTTGATTCTCTCTTGGGGATATTTCTTAGGGTGTGCTGTCAGAAGGTGTCATTGTTAACCTACTGCCAGCTGAGCACTCTCCATCATATCTGATTCTAGGATATAAAATTCAGCACATTACCTGACATGTGCTAAAGGGAAAAATACAACTTCAGATGGAGTGGGCAGCAAGCAGGGGTTTCTTTTTCTGTGAAGCCCTTTAATATTGTCCTTGTTGTAAATTTTGCCAGGTGACATTGAAGAGATGGAGCATCAGGATGGTGGAGAGGAAGGCAAGGAAAAGCTGACTGAAGCTGATCCCTGCCACTCCGAGGGTTGTATGCAGGTGGAGGCAGCAAGAGACCTGCAGCCTTGCAAGAAACAGCATTTCACTTTTAGCCTCGTGAATTCCTCTGGGACCTCTGAGATAAACTCCATTGTTGAAGGAAAAATCTTAAAACTGAGTGGTAATTATTTTCTTGCTGTCTTTTTTTTTTCTTCCTTCTCCTTACACCTTTGCAATAAATGTTTCTTCTTTCTTGTAGCTTTTTCTGCAGTTGCTATTGACTGGGATTCTGATACACGGAGGCTACTTTATGATGAACAGGAGGCACAGGTATGCTCTTTTCATAAATAATCTATATGTAAACTTGCATGGTACTTAAAAGATGACAGTAAATGGTGAAATTTAGGTGTAGTTCCCTCCATAAAAACTGAAGTCACTGGCATGAGATAGGTTTACTTAAAATCTATTAGTAGTAAAGTCTATGGATCTGTAGTTGCTGATCTGTTTCTAGTGTGTTCTGAAAAAAAGCAGACCTTTTAATTTCAAAACTAAGTGGTCTAGTTCATGGTCCACTCACAAAACAAAACTCAAATCTGAAGCCAAATTCATAGAGCCTAACACAAAGCTCAGTATTCCTTCTGTGAGAGCTCTGCTGGATCATCTTTTGTAACAAAAGAAGCTGGTTTTATTGTCTTGATAAAAGCCCTAAACCCACCAACTTTTAGTTTGTTTATATTTTTTTCTTATGGACAAGAAAGGAGTGGCTGGAAGCTTGAGAGGAGTGTATGGCTGGGGAAGGGAGGGGGCAGAAACAGGCGGCATGGGGAAGGTGAGCCTGTAGTTTTGTGATGTAAAGGATTACAGAGTATATGGAATTGAATAAAGCATCCATCTCTTTCACTAGGCATTTGAAAAACATGGCAGCATGCTACAACCACAGAAGAAGAAGGCTGTAGTAGCCCTCAGAGACTGCATAGAGCTCTTCACTACTATGGAAACACTTGGTGAACATGACCCATGGTAGGAGCCTGTGCCTGCATGTTTATCATAAAGTGCTATAACTGTTTGAGTTCATGTTACTTGTCACGGGATTCTGATAATTTCCCAGGTCTGTCCTTTTATGTTCACCTGTGAGAAGTCTGTAAGATCTCTACTAAGTGATTGACTCCATAGGCTGCAGGCAAAGTGTCAGGGGATATGAAGCTTCCAAAGATCAGGTCATTTTCAATTCCCAGGCATACATTTGTCTTCTAGACAGTGTCAGACAGTGTGGTAATAAAGACTGAAAGTATGTGCCTACCTTAGCATTTAATCCTGTATTATTTCTAACTTGAACCACTCCTGACCTACTCCCAACTCTACCAAAATTCCCTAGTCCAAAGGGACGAGATACAGCAGATCCCAAGTGACCAAAATGTGATTACCATGTGTGCAGAGGATCTTTGGAAGTTGTTTGATAGCTGTGTAAGAAAATAACTTAAAGTGTACTAGGAGATTGTTTATTACTAATTTCCAATTACATGGTGCAGATATGTTTGCAACTGTTACCTGTTTGAGCTGCATCAGGGGATAATAGAAAAGTAATGGGATCTTTAAACTTATTTTTTTAATTTATGAAAGGAAAATTAATTTTTGTACAATGTTCAGTTAATACACTTGTCATAGGGCATTTTGCCTATGAAGTGAAAGCAAGCTGCAGTTTGGAATTCTCTGAGGCAGTGTGTTCACCTGCATATTCCACAGCAATGTGCCTTCTGTAAGGCAGGGACTGTACTGTGCTAGTGAGGAATCTTTAATGGAAGGCCAGAAGCTTTTCTTTTAATGTAGTTATTAACTTCCTTATTTGTTATTCCTTCCTCAGGTACTGCCCTAACTGTAAGAAACATCAACAGGCCACAAAGAAGTTTGACCTGTGGTCTTTGCCCAAGATTTTGGTGGTGCATTTAAAACGCTTCTCATACAGCAGATACTGGAGGGATAAACTTGACACTGTTGTGGAATTCCCTATCAGGTAGGATTCTTCCCTCAAGCCAGGAAGAATTTGAAGAATCTGGTCAAGAAGAATCTGCTTCTGATGTTTCTGTTGGTGGGTGGGCTTGTTATGAAAGCTGTAACTGGAACAGCTGTCTTCTGGGTTTGAGCAGCTCGACAGCAGGCATGAGTTGAGTTGGTTAGTTTTTAGTGGGGTTGTTTTTGTTAGGATTAATCAGTTCTATACATCTCAAATAACATTAGTTAATGTGATTCTGCTGGACCATGAGAACTTCTGTAGTGATTTTAAAAAATTGTTGGGCAGAGCTGCACTTGTACTACTGAGTATTGCACAAGTACAAGATGAAAGCCTGCCTGGTCCCTCTGTTTCTGCTTGTCAGCACCTTGCTGTGGGATGAAGCGTATTACTTACTTACTCCTATCTCACTTTTCATGCCTACACAGGGACACACTGAACTGTGTTTTATTCAGCACCTCCCTCTAAACCTTTTGGCAGTGCTTGATGTGTTTACCAGGACCTACCCTGTGTGGGAGCGGTAACAAGTCTGGTCTTCACACTAATAATGCCTGGCCTTTGAGCAGTAGAGCAGCCCTGCTGCACCAGTGCTGCCTGCAGAGCTTCACTGGTGTCATGCAACTCTTCCTAAAAAGTGCTGGTTACTGCTGTGCTGATGCTTTTGGGTTTCCTTCCAGGGGTTTAAACATGTCCGAGTTTGTCTGCGACCCAAGAGCAGGCTCGTATGTGTACGACCTCATTGCAGTTTCCAATCACTATGGAGCCATGGGAGTGGGCCACTGTGAGTAACTGCTACTCTGTCCCTTGGGCACAAGGAAATGTGGGCAGAAGGGTCCTGGGAGGGCTCTGTGTGTTGGACACCTGCAGTAGCCCTCACTAAGGATTTCTAGTCCCCAAAATGTACCTGTGTTCTGTGTGCAGGTGAATACCATATTGGGAGGTAATATCCTTCTTGTTAGGATCTATAGGGCAGATAACCAGTTTGTGTACTTTGCAGCTGCCTGAGGTCTGACTCTGATGCCTGTGGGATCCTGGTTAGTAGTCATTAGTGTGTGTGATGGTGTTCCCCAGTTTATGAGTGAAGTCAAGACTTTTCAATGCTGAACTTGAAATTATGAAAATGACCTTTTTACTGGAGAGTGCTGGGGAGGGTCACAGCTGAAGGGGGATATGCTCTGAGATTGGGGATCACAGTCACAGAAGTCTTGGCTGGACGAGATTTTGCAGGACTTTTAACTTACTTCTTGAGTGAGGACTCGTGCAAACAGTAGATCAGATCCATCATCAACAGAAAACTTCTCCTTCATGTGAAAATGCAGAGTCTTAAACAATGTGTTTGGGAAAACTCTGGCTCAAGGCAGGTGAACAAAACACTATAATTCTTTTCCTCAGTTTCTTTGCCCTGTGTCTCTCTGGTATGTGGGACACTGTCCTAGACTAGGACCAGCCAGCATGTTGCAGAAGATGTGTGTGTTGGTGAACTAGGCTTGGGGTGGGTAATGTCAAAGCTGAGCTCAGTTTCTCCCCGTGGCAGACACTGCCTACGCCAAGAACAAAGTGAATGACAAGTGGTACTACTTCGATGACAGCAGCGTATCAGTGGCTTCAGAAGACCAAATAGTGGTGAGTATTTGGCCCGAGGCCATTCTGAGTTTGTGCTGAAAGTGTGGTTCCCTGCTTTGGGTGTGACATTTCAAGCCAAGCCGTGCAGATGGTTTCAGATGGGTTTTCTTTTTGTTTGGTAGACAAAAGCTGCGTATGTGCTGTTTTATCAGCGCCGAAACAATGAGGAACATAGTGCCCCATGTCCTCCCCAGGAAGAGTGTGACGGCATGGACACCAACTAAGCATCACCTCCAGCCACCATGGTAGCAGTTCCTCTTCTAAAGCAATGCCTGAGGCATCTGAAAATTTTCCTTCCTTCTGTAGGGGTCAAGCAGAAGATCGAGCGCTGTAAGATTCAGTGCTGGGGGTTGCAGAGTAGCACTGGAGAGCCAGGAATAGGTGCTGACACTTGGGTATTTAGAGGCCAAAAATAATATATATTGGAGCTTCAATAAAGTTCTTTTTAAAATCTGGCTGAGCTGTGTGGCTAGAGGCAGGGGTTGGGGCTGTGGTTCTTGGTTGTAGTTGGGGTCGGGAGAGGACAGTCTGAGCTGGAGGCCAGTCACAGCTGAGCCTCGCAGGGGCCCGGGGAGGAGTGTGGTGGGTACGATTCTGTGAATCGGCACTGGGGCTTCCTGCCAACTCTGGTGTTGCTTTTGGGCCCTGCCTGTGTCAGGGAGGCTCCTACACCCTTTCTGGAGCTCAATTCAGATCTTTGTACACCTGGCCTGTCTGCTGCAGTCTCTGCCATTGTACCTTGGTTCCCTGGCTAAGCAGCAAACATTTTTCTTGCTTCCATCCTTTTCACTGATGCATTTTATGCTCTTCAGGGCAGTTTTGACTCAGCCTTTTTCATGTGAACACTGAATCCTCTAATGTAGGAACCTTGGCCAGAAGTGACTCATACCTGCCCGTGGTGTGGCACATATGCAGGCTGATCTGGCTCCTGTTCTTCTGCAGAGAAAATACCATCCATAACACTGATGATTTCTTGTCTTCTCCATCCATCTCCTACACCCCTCACTTCCGGGCTGCTCTGTAAAGCACTTTTCTGCCTCCGGCTTTTCTCCTATGGTTTGTGCCGTGACAGCATTTTTATCCTTTTTTGCTTGTTTATGTGGTTCCTTGGAGCTTTTTCTCCAGCCAGGCTCAGCACTGTGTCACCTGTAAGTGTGACAGCCCAATGCAATGGATTGTGTGAGTTTTCAGCCTTTTCTCTTGCAACTTTGGTTTTTTTTGGACTGCTTTTTCAGCCTTCCTCCTCCTCCCTTGAGCGCTGCCCTTTAGATCCCCACCTTTTCACCTTTTGTGGGGCTGCAGGTGTGACAGTCCTGTCCCAGCTCCTCTTTGCCTTTGCTGTTCAATGGTTCTGTTCTATCCTTTCGGCTCAAGTGGCAAATGCTCTTCCCTCTGTCCTCCTTTGCTGTCTGTGGTACTTGTAAGACTCAAGTCTAGCTTTCTTCTTGAATGTGGACTCCTGTGAGTCTCTCCTTGGTGGAGACCTGGTCTTCCATGTGAAAAATGGGAAAAAATCTAGAGCTTTAGCCTGTGTTTTTTTAGGGACAAATCTAGCTCAATGACAAACCAAACAGGAGGGTTTTTCTTTCTTGGAGAAGGGAGGGCTGCCTCTAGCCAGCATGCTACTGGTGTGATCCTCTGTGGAATTTTGCTTTTAAAACATTGAAATTTGAATTTTGAGATCACAATTGCTTAGTTGCTTCTGCTGTTCTGGTGGAGTTTTTTTGTTTTGTTTTTTTGCAACTCTTAATATTGTATTTCTTTTTTTTTTTTCCTCATTACTGATGGGAGCATCCAAAAAGCAATTTTTAAGCTGTAGCACTGCACTGAAATTACTCTAATCAGCATTTTTTTGTTCGTTTTATCCTAAAAGTAAGTCATATGGGCATTCCAAAATAGAGAATAGAGGAAAGGGAGGGGAGTACAAGTCCTTTTTAAAAGAGAAATCAATCTGAAATAGCCTTTGTTCTCCTTCTCGCCTCCCTGCCTGTGCTGACACAGAAAAGCATCGTGGGGCTAAATCTGTGATGCTCAGATGCTGAACAGACTCTGTTGTACTGCAGAACAAGTGGCCCAGCTCTTGCTTTCTCTGCCTCTGAGCTGCTGGGCTTCAGCTGATGTGTGTGTGCTGTAATACCAGACTGTTTTTTTAGACTAGCACTTTGTAAGTGGCTGGCTCTGTTGTACAAAGAGGAAAATTAAAGAGTGGTTTGCACTGAAACTGGATTTTGTTGTATTTTCAGCTTTCGTTATGTGGCCCAAGACTGCTGGTTGTGGGGGTGCCTGGTGCTCCAGGACTGATTTGGGCTGGGGAAGGGCGAGTCCTTGGCAACCAGTGAGGATTTTGGAGAAGATCAGCTGTTCAGGGCACTGCTCTGTCCAGCTGAGAGTTGTGTTTGCTCCAGGGTTGCCTTTTCTTGCCTGCAGTGCTGGGTTGTTGGTATCTGGTGCTCAGCAAAGCCTGTCCTTGCTTTTCTGAGGCACTGGGAAGCCTCAGCTATGGTTTCATCATCATTCCTCTTCCTCTGCAGATCCCTGGGGGTCCTGGTCTTCCTTCTGTCTGTTTTCTCTGTATACAGTATTGGGGCTGCTTGTGTCTGGACCACTGGGATAGTTTGGTTAGAACTAAAACCAGGCTCTGTCACAGTCCTGGCTCAGCCCCTGCTTTGAAGAGAATGTGCAGTTTGACCCTGAGAAAAGTGCTCAGAATAAAGAGGAGGGAAAAAAAAAAGAAAGCGACAGCCACAGAATATGGAAGAGCTTCTGTTGAAGCATTTGCCCAGGTTAGGACTGCTCTCCCTGGAGGTCTGAGGAGCTCCTGCAGATGAACAAGCCAGGAACAGTTGCTCCCTGTTCTCTTCAGTGCAAGAAGATGGCCAGGCAGGCACTTAAGGCACTTCCTATCCCCACCTGCCCAGTAAAGAACAGAACAGGGATGGCAGGGAACAGCCAGGCACCCTTGCTCCCTGTCACCCTGCTGGGCATGGCAGGCTGGAGGGGCTATGTGGGCACTCTGAGGTGCTTATAAATGGACTTGGGAAGCATTAAATTAGTGGGGAAATTGTGTGTGTTTGCTACCTCTGCATAGCAGTGCCATCTCTGGCTCTCTGCTGCCCAAAGGCCTCTGAGGAGCTGCTCTGCCCAGGAACCAGAGCAGCAAGGAGGGGGCAGAAGGTGCCAGGATGCCCAGCAGGTTGCCTGGACCAGGAGCAGGCACAGGGGACTGTGCAGTTCCAGGGAGCCTTCCAGGCCTGGATACCAGAGGAAGGTAGGTGAGCTGTCCTATGCTTTGCTGTGGGCACATGGTGAGTATCCCCCTCATGCTTTTTTTCTTGTGAAAGCATCAAATCCTGATTATTTTAACAGGAAAAAAGAATGAGGGCAAGAACTGCTTTCAGAAGCTGAATCTTGATGCTACTTTTGAAGATGCAGTAGGTACTTTGTCACTAAGCCAAGTTTGAATTGCTTATGTGATGTCCTAATTGTTCAAAAGCAAAGGATAACTCGCTGTGCATTTATTTAAAAGGATAAAACAAGAAAAATAGGCACAACTTGTACTTTTTTACTCTCAGAAACCTTAACTCCAGCAAGCTTGCTCTTTGTGAACTTGAAATTTTAGGTCTTTTCTCCAGCATATATTTCCTAGGAAGAGAAACAGAACTCCAGCTCAAAACCCACACGGAGCCTCTGGCTGAGATACAACACCCTCAGTCCTGGGGCTCAAATCAAAGTGAGGGCACTCTGCAGTTCTGAACATGATGGTTTTGTTTTATTCTCAGCCTTGCTAAAATACATTATATAGTTTTAAGTAACATTTCTTTTCAAATAACTTTCACGAGAAGAGACAAAAGCATGTTCTCAAATTCAGAAGATGGAGGTCTGAAGTTCTTCCTTAAACATGCCTTCAAAGTGGAGGTCTTTTGCCATGAGCTCTTCTTCTACATCTTCTAAGGCCCACTGATGATCTGTCAGTTCTAAGGCTTCCCATTCCGTCTGCATTGGCAGTGAACAGAGGTAGAGAAGGGAAAGCAACACAGTATTAGACAAGAACTACACAAACTACACTTAAAAAACTGCAACAAACCCCAAGTTCTATTAAAAACCTGGCAATCCTGTCAACTTGTTGAAATCAGTGTTTTATGCTTAATTAGATACTAGTTGATCAATAAAAAGTGCATCACAGAAATTGGAAAAACTACATTATCTACTTCTTGCAAACCCTCTAATGTGAAACAGTCCAGTGCAGCTGTTTCTAGAAACACAGCCAGTTCTGTTCTAGGGGGTCGAGTCCTTTGTACTTAGTTAATTCTTTAGTCTAGAGATGTTCAATAACAAGTTAGAGGACAAATATTTTGCAACCAGTCACAGACTTGTGCCTGCAAAATCATGTCATGTGATGCCCAGCAAGAGATTTGTATTTCTTGGCCAGAACACTTCTGCAATATGGGTTTTTCCCTTGTTCTGCTGGAGCATATTGTGGGTTCAGGTCCCTGCAGGGCTGAACAGCAGAAGAGCTGTGGGTAGGCAGTACAGGATGGAAGCAGAGGGATGTGAGCCAGGGGAATTCATGGTACTGGCTGGAATTGCACTTCAGTGCTGACAGTCAGTGACAGAACAGCCACTGCTTCAGCACAGCTGCAAACTGCAGCCACTCCCTTCCCTGGCTGAGCCTCTGGGTGGGTGGTGTGGGATTTTTTAACCAGGAAAGACTGAAGACAAGAAACTGGGAGCAGACCATCCCAGCCTCCCAGGCAGCAAGCTGTGTGTGGCTAAACCTCTACTACAGTACATAAAACAGGAAACCAGGACTGTCCCTTCATGCACAAACTCGGGCTGTGAAAGGCAGAGGGAGTCTAACAAGCAGTGCCTATGGAGAATGCTTAGGAGAACTCCAACACACAGTCAAATCCTGACAGATTTTCTGCTGAGCTGACTTGCTTACTTATTTTCTTACACAAGTTCCATCACGTGCCTACTGGACTTCTGCTCAGTGGCACTAATAACTTTTGAGGAACCAGCTTCTGCTTTGGAGCTATACTTCAAGGTAAAAAAACCCCCTTCCTTTGCAAAAAACAGAAGATGGCCCATGAATTCAGCTTTTGTACCAGGAATGACTGACTTATCAGGTTTACTTCAGGGTATTCGGGCTCTGCCAGACCTAGAGCAACTCCCACAGCCTTCATCAGCTGTCAGCTCTATTTTTAGGAACAGGAATTCAGAGCAATTCCCTTACTTGACACAGGGAGAGGCTGAGTTACACACAGCCTGTGAGCCTGCAAGCTCACAGCAAACAGGAATGCAGGTGGGAATACTGTACCTTAAATGCTTTGTTGGTATCTGCTGGCATGGCCATTGCTGCCCCTGTCATTTGTTCCTGCATCACCCTGGACTGATCTGCAGCTGCAGATGAGAAATGAGATTTCTGTGTCATTTAAACAGCATTTTCTAGAGCACAGTGCCAGCAGGCTGGTATCTGACTACAGATGAGAACGTTGCAGAAACACCCAGAATGTGATACTACCATGCCAGAAAGAGTTCTCACAAGACATCTTGTTCCCACCCCCTACATCTGAGCCAGATTTACATAAAACATGCAGAACAATTGAGGAAAATAACGGTCTTCTATATTCCCAATACATATTTGTCCTGCCCCACATCTAATACTAAGAAATCTTTGCAGTTTTCCTTAAAACTAATACTTGCTAGAAATAAAAGCAAGCCTGAGAGCAGAACTTTTGCACACTGTTTTGGTGGGAAGGAAAGTGTGGGCTAGACCAAGTTTATGAGCCAATGGCTGGTGCAGGAGATTTGGGTACTTGCTGCAGGTGATATCAAACCTGGCTTGGGAGAGTAACCTCACAGGAGTGAAAGGCTTTCAAAGGCTTTTTGGCTGAAAACTTAGAAATCCTTCCCCAGCCTCCCTCAGAAGACATCCTGTGGAAGGAGAATCCAGTTCTTTCCCAGAAAGGACAATGTCTTACCATTATCTTGGCCCAGGATAAGAGTATAAATGCTTCTGAGTCCAAACACATTCAAGAAGTACCAGGAAGCAGAGCTCACCCTGACAAATCAGAACAAGCAGGGTTGATGTCAGTTCAAAGCTGGCTCCTGACCTCATTCCAGCAGCTCGTACAGACCATTCAGGGGTTATTATTAACACATTCAACATTTTCCAAGTGGGAATTCCACCTTGCTGGCTGAGGACAGGCTTACCAGGACGCATCCAAAGTGAGCAGTTCAATTCCCTGCTGCAACATTGGCTTAAAACGCAGTGTCAGAGGAAATGGGACCTTTGCTGCAGGATGAAGAAAAGAAGCCCAGTTTCACAAAGTGACACTGCAAAGCACATGGTATCTTTTATTACATCTTATCTGGTCTGAATGCAATGTGTACAATAACAAGTTAACTTGTGAGCTGCAGTTCTGTATTCATTTCAATATGAAGTGTTTTTTGAAACTTAGAAACTTTTGAAACTTAGATGACCAAACCCTCACAAGTATTGCTTCATGACTGAGAAGGGGAATGTATTTTGTTAAAGAAACAGTTATCACATAAACACTATAGAATAAAACCCAGAACTGTGAATTTAAGGAAGTATTTTTGATGTGTGCACCCTGCATTACACAGCAAGTCCATGGAGTGAAGAGCAGCAGTGCCACAAGCCAAATTCATGCTGCTTCCAACTGACTGCTTTCAGGTAGAGCAAATCTCTGATGCAGCCCAGACCCTCAAGGTCAGAAACACAGCCAAACCCATGTTATTCCAGACACTTACTTGTGACAAATCCTGAAAATGTCATGTTGATCCAACCCCCGATGAGGATCATAGGCAGAACATTGGTTACATTCCCTTTCATCATATCTGTCAGCATGGTAGGATCTGCAAATCACAGACTCAATGTGAAGTAGCAGTGTATCACAATAAAGGGAAACATGACATTAATTGTCAGCTACTTTAATTAAGAAACTGCATGAGAGAGAAAACAGTCCTATCCCAATAACTTTATTTTCCACTGTTGAAAATTATTTGTAAAATGAGATGAGCAGCCAATGTGGTAGTGGCTGCTGCCAAAGGGGTGTTGTGTTCTGTGCTGTGTCTGATCCCATCCCTTGCCTCAGACTGCAGAACTTGCTTGACCTCTCTGTGAGATGATTTGAGTAGAAAAAGGACAATTAACTACCCAGCTGTTTTGCTGCTGTGGACACATAAGTTAAATCAGTT